GGAGAAAGAAGTCAAAGCATAGGGTAGGGCAGTGTGAGCAGGACCAGCAGTGTCATTTGACTTAACAAACGAGGATCGGATGTCGTCAACCTTCTTTTCAAAATGGTTGACGAAGTCATCCACAGAGAGGGAGGGGGGGGGGGGGGAGATTCAGCAGGGAGGAGAATGTGGCAAAGAGCTTCCTAGGGTTAGAGGCGGATGCTTGGAATTTAGAGTGGTAGAAAGTGGCCTTAGCAGCAGAAACAGATGAAGAAAATGTAGAGAGGAGGGAGTGAAAAGATGCCAGGTCTGCAGGGAGTCTAGTTTTCTTCCATTTCCGCTCAGCTGCCCGGAGCTCTGTTCTGTGAGCTCGCAATGAGTCATCAAGCCACGGAGCTGGAGGGGAGGACCGAGCCGGCCGGGAGGATAGGGGATATAGAGAGTCAAAGGATGCAGAAAGGGAGGAGAGGAGGGTTGAGGAGGCAGAATCAGGAGATTGGAGGGAGAAGGATTGAGCAGAGGGAAGAGATGATAGGATGGAAGAGGAGAGAGTAGCGGGAGAGAGAGAGCGAAGGTTGCGACGGCGCATTACCATCTGTGTAGGGGCAGAGTGAGTAGTGTTGGAGGAGAGGGAGAGAGAAAAGGATACAAAGTAGTGGTCGGAGACTTGGAGGGGAGTTGCAGTGAGATTAGTAGAAGAACAGCATCTAGTAAAGATGAGGTCAAGCGTATTGCCTGCCTTGTGAGTAGGGGGGGACGGTGAGAGGGTGAGGTCAAAAGAGGAGAGGAGTGGAAAGAAGGAGGCAGAGAGAAATGAGTCAAATGTAGACGTAGGGAGGTTGAAATCCCCCAGAACTGTGAGGGGTGAGCCATCCTCAGGAAAGGAACTTATCAAGGCGTCAAGCTCATTGATGAACTCTCCAAGGGAACCTGGAGGGCGATAGATGACAAGGATATTAAGCTTAAATGGGCTAGTGACTGTGACAGTATGGAATTCAAATGAGGAGACAGACAGATGGGTCAGGGGAAAAATTGAGAATGTCCACTTGGGAGAGATGAGGATTCCTGTGCCACCACCCCGCTGACCAGATGCTCTCGGGGTATGCGAGAACACATGGTCAGATGAGGAGAGAGCAGCAGGAGTAGCAGTGTTTTCAGTGGTAATCCATGTTTCCGTCAGCGCCAAGAAGTCGAGGGACTGGAGGGTAGCATAGGCTGGGATGAAGTCTGCCTTGTTGGCAGCAGAACGGCAGTTCCAGAGGCTGCCTGAGACCTGGAACTCCACGTGGGTCGTGCGTGCAGGGACCACCAGGTTAGAGAGGCAGCAGCCACGCGGTGTGAGGCGTTTGTGTAGCCTGTGCGGAGAGGAGAGAACAGGGATAGGCAGAGGCATAGTTGACAGGCTGCAGCAGATGGCTACAATAATGCAGAGGAGATCGGAATAAAATGAACTAAACATCTGGGAAAGGAGAGAGCGGGGCCTCCCTCACCACAACTCCCAAATATAACTCTCCCAACTTCCACCTCAGAAACTATAATTGTTGTAAACTACAGCGGTTCAATGTTTTCTAGGAATAGACTAACCTAGTTTATTCAGCTAGCTAACTAGGTGCAGTATTATTCCGTGAAAAACGTCCGGGCACCTCGTCATAAGACGCCACAGCCAGCTACTTATTTCCCTCATTAAAATGCAAATCAATTTATAACATTTTTTACATGCGTTTTTCTGGATTTTTTTGTTGTTATTCTGTCTCTCATTGTTCAAATAAACCTACCATTAAAATTATAGACTGATCATGTCTTTGTCAGTGGGCAAACATACAAAATCAGCAGGGGATCAAATACTTTTTTCCCTCACTGTAGATCTTTGCTTCTGTTCCCTGTCGAGACTGTAGATTTATCAAACAATATAGTTTCCGTTATTACATTTTGATTTGGATAAACAGTTGATTTATTTTTCGAAAAATTCACCAGCATGGGGAATATTCTGTCTGTCTGATTCAGTTTTCAATACATTGGGACCAGGTTGGGGCTTAAGTGGATTGTTGACAACAAGCTGCATATTAATGTAAATAAATCACAAGTACATATGACATTTCCTGTCTGCAACATTACTGTCTAGGATAGTGGACCTAATGGTCTTGGCCTGCTCCTCTGATAAGGCCTTTTTCCACTAGAGTGGGCTAGAGGTCTTCGATAATTCCATCATGAGATAATCAATTGAGTTACCACTAATTATCAGTTGAATACAGAAATGACCATGCATCATCTGCACTGTGCATGGAATAACTTTTATTTTTCAAGTATGCCTACAGATCTAATACAATGTTCAAACATACGTTTTTTCTGCACAAACACAATGCGTTACATTTGCAACTCAGTTATTATGTATGATAAAGATATTAATGACTTTATTATATTTGTTAGATATTGATTTATCTCACTGGACTTCTTCTAATGCTGCGTTGAGCTGGGATGAAATGCGGAAGATGGAATTCATGTTGTAGGCCTGGGCGAGGAAGTTGGCGGATGGCGAGATGAAGCGAGGCAGAAAGAAGAGTGTGAGGTTCAAACCCAAATCAACATCTGCGAAACACAAGCATAGTACTTTCTCCTTTGAGTCAAGTATGTTATGTTTGTTCCTTAAATAATGACAAACCAGGGCGTAGGTTGAACTATTAATAAACTGATACTTTAGTAAGCAATCTCCTTGTGTAGCCATGCAAGGCATACTTCAACTTCTCCCCCTCGCATAGCCTGCTGGGTAACATAGTCTTCATGTTATTAACGCATAACAACACAAAGTACAGAAGAGATAATTACGCTCCTGAAAACCCTTGACTTTTTCCACATTTTGTTGTGTTACAGCCATGAGAGTTTTTGTTCCAAACCCACTACGGTGTTTCAGGTGGCAAGTTTACGGTCATGTTACAGCAGTATGTAGGAGGGGGATTCCAAGGTGTGAGAAGTGTGCAGGAGGGCATGGGACAAAGGAGTGTGTAGATTCAGTGGGAAAAGTGTAATGCTTCAATTGGACAGGTTGATGTTTCTAGGGTGAGAGCAGTGCACAAAGTGTCATTTGCTGAGGCAGTAATGAAAGTAGAGGATGGAGGGCAAAGTGTGAGAAAGCCTGAGAGGATCCCTGTGAATAGTAGGCCAATACAGAGTGACCCGAACAGTTTGTGCTTTAGTAAGGTTGGCTTCTTGGTGCTCATTGCTATGGTCATTAATTGTACTGCACAGATGGAAAGAAAATCCCAGAAGATTGAACTGGTAGTAGCAGCAGCAGAGATGTTTTTGGGTGTCAAAGATTTTAGTGCAGAAGAACTACTGGGGGTTCTGAGAGAAGGGGTTCCAGCCTCCTAGGCCGACGGCCTGGAGTAGGATCTCTTACAGCCAAAGTAGTGGGAAGGGGTGGTGGGGTGTGTTGGGGATAGTGGTATATACAGTATCTGGTTAGATGATGGTGCAATTTCCTTTTTCCCCCATATTCCTTTTTTTTGTGAACAAATGTGCAAAGCACTTTCCGAACTCTGAAAGGCAGCAATACACAACGAAGCGTCTAGTCTGACGGAAAAACTACACGAAGAAGAAGAAGAAGAAGAAGAAGACGCTGCATTAAACCACATAGTTTTTAAACCCAGAGGTGCAACATCGCGAGACTTTTGGGAACGCTTACGAAGCAGACCAAGCAGACCAGGCCGGGGTTTGTGGTTTGAGGATTCAATGAGAGAAGTAAATAATTATTCCTTAGTTGTTCATTTTCTCAAAATCTAAAGGCACAACCTAGGTTCAAGCCAATGTCTTTAGTAGTTGAATATGTTATAACTACAACCGCGAGAAAGAGACAAACTGACACGTTGTTATTTTCGTCAAAAACGACTTTATATTGAAGGAGTGCCTTTGATTTGTCGGCATGCACATGCGCAGTTTTGCGCGTGACGACCGTTGTTTATGCGCATGAGCGTAGCTAGCCAACGTCGCCATGATATCGCCTACAAGCGTAATCGGGGATTTCTAATAGAGAAGCAGTTTCTGCCTATCTTTATACTGTACTGTCTTTGGTTGAAATCTCGTTCTTTGCACCGCAGTGGTGGTTTCCACTAGTTATCACAGCCACAAAGTCCAAATTGACTATATCGTAAAAATTCATGAAAACAAAAATGTGCTTTTTGGTCTTAATTTAAAGGTTAGGGTTAGGCATAAGGTTAGCAGTGTGGTTAGGGTTAGGTTTAAAATCAGATTTTAAGAAGAGAAATCGTAGAAATGGGCTGGGTTTATGACTTTGTGATCGTAGTAACTAGTGACCACCCCTCAGTAGTTGAATTCAACTCCTCCCTTTTTATTATAGTTTCCCATACTGCATTGCGGTGAATTATGGACCAAAGTGGTAAGCGACAAATGACTCTCCAGTTTCACCTATAATTTAGTTTTATTTGTGTATCAGTGGATTTAACTTCATACACAGCGAAATACATTTCATTTGCGAACTTATTCATATTCAATTGTATATTACAAGTATTATCAGTGGAGTGTTTAAAGTACAAAAATTGCGGCCTTGTAGCAACCTCTCGTTGCCAGCCCACTGCTAGCTAATATATAGCTAACATTAGCTTCCGCAGATCTGTGTTGCTACAGTAGTAGCTAGCTAGCTAGTTGTGCTTTTTAGAATAAAGTGACGGTTGGAGTTGATCTGCCAGTGCAAAGCTAAGAACTTAAAATTGCCAGGACAGTACTCTAACCTTGACAAAAAAATCAGAATAAATAATACGATGTTTGTAACTTAGACTAAGTGCTAGCTACGGTCTGCATTCTCCATCAACTTATGTAACTCCAGACGACGTTAGCTAAAATGATACACGAGCGTTTTGCTAAACTATTCATCGTGGTTTTGATCACCTATGGATTGTCAACTTATAGTGTCGTTATTATTATTATTATATTATAGTGTCGTTGCTAGTAAGTATCATGTAAATGTTCGCTTGGTAACTGATGACTGAATCTGGTCACTGACAATTTGAATGATCCATCGTTCCCCCACAGACAATGACCTGCAAGGCACGGACGGCTCGGGGAGTCTTGGGGGCCCTGATGTCCGCAGACGCATCCCCATCAAACTCATCTCCAAACCGACCATCAGGAGCAAACCTGCTCCCCGGACACAAAGACCCATGGGCAGGCTGCCCTCCAAACCCCAGGCTGGGGATGAAGGTTAGCCATCCACAAGTGCTTTCTTATCTCCTTGTTTTAATTCCCAAGGGCTAGGATTGGGATAGGGAAGCCTGTTGCTAGGTCATAGAAGCAAGCTTTCATATGGGACTACTGTAAGGCAACATATCTGTGTTTCTAGAGAGTTTTAGCTTCAAGCAAGAGGAGAGGTTCGACTGTGGTACCAAGGCTGGGGATGTTTTTGCAAGTCAACGGAGGTTCCCCCAGCAAATGTTTTGGGACTTTAAGGTAGTGTTTTAATTTCTATCTTTGGGAGAAAAAAATGCATTCCTTCTACATCATTACTGTGTCATTGACCTCTTGGTCTTTTCCCCACAGTTGAATTTGATAGGTGAAAAGGATGACATTCCAGCTCACTTTTGTGACAAGTGTGGTCTGCCCATAAGGATCTATGGACGCATGGTATGTCTCTTCGATCAAGTTTTTCATAGTGTGTTATGTGTCTCTTAAAAACGTTTTATAGTAAAAGGCTATGAGTGCAGCAGCATATAATGTTATTATCTGTATGAACTCCCCAGATTCCATGCAAACATGTGTTCTGCTATGAGTGTGCATTGCTCCACGAGAAGAAGGGAGACAAGATGTGCCCAGGGTAAGCTCTTGACATTTATTTTTATTTTTAACCTATCCACTAGTGCAGTGGTTCTCAACTGGTTTTGCCAAATTGAACCAGGTTGTCTCAGTCGGTACCCAACATTCGTCTCGTGAAACAAAAATAGCCAAAATACAATCTAGAAAAATATTTTGAATGCTATATTGATTGTAAAGGTAGCAAATTATATGACGAGGGAAAAACATTCCCACATTTTTCATTGTCAATATTTAAAATGTTCCCATATTCTTGATGAAGAATATTAATAAGCTCACTGGTTTGAGACCACAAAATCAACCAAATCCGCTTAATAGCTCTGCTAATAGCTCTATAAAAAATACTTTGATTGAACAAAAAAAAAGATTAAATTATAAAAAATAAATAATTGTAGAATCATTATAATTTCTACACACTTTCTACCTGGTTGTAGTTGTTTAAGTTCAGACTGGAGTAAAATCATTTTTTAACTCAGACAGCCGCATTTAGTGACCTTACGTTTGATTCCGGGGCATGCGTCAAAATCGCTAAGCAGTTTGCCTCAACAGTGTACCGAGGCTTGTATCACTTTATCAGAAGGAAGTGATCAATGACGTCCGAAGCTTCGTTTTGTCGAACAACCACCTGATTGGTTTGGTATTGGTTTCGGTAGAAGACAAGGCGTGAAGGCATGTGTGATGCCATCTATAACAATTTGGCTGTTCTAAATTCTTTTGACCATTACGTGCCACTAGTGTACTCTGTGTTGATCGAATCCTTGCGTAATGAACCTATTTTCTCCACAACTGTCTGGAAATGCTCAATGCTTCAGGAATTTTTGTTTCCCCATTACTACCCACGACCCATTCAAAACTTCCCACCAGTTGAGAATCGCTGCACTAGTGTATTCAACTGTCCATATACTATCTGTATGTGTGGTTGCTGACTGCACTTACTAACTAAACCTTTGTTATGTTCAGTATGCAGCTCTTCAGCTGCACAGACCTGGTCCAGCGCATCGAACAGTGTCTGCGGGGCTCCCTGTACATGTGCAGCATCGTGCAGGGCTGCAAGCGCACCTACCTTTCCCAGCGTGACCTGCAGGCCCACATCAACCACCGCCACATGAGGGCAGCTAAGGCCTTGGCAAGCCGCCAGGATGCCCTGCACCTTCCCACATCCTCAGATGTGCCTGACCGCTTCCGCGTGCCCCCGCCTCACCTGCCCAAGACCCAAGGGCACCTCCCACCCCCCCTCCAACACGGTGGTCATGACCCCTACGGTCAGCCACCACCGGCTTCCCATGATGCGCCTCCTCTTGCCCAGGAGACCTTCCGCATCGCCACGGTAACTACACGCGCACGCAGCAACCTCATCACCGTGCCCATCCAGGATGACTCCGGTTCTTCCTCCACATCTTCCTCCCGTGACCCTCTCCCTCCCGGCCCGGGCCCTGCTCCACCCCCACACCACCATCCTGGGGACTACGCTGGTCAGCCTGTAGTGTCCCACCCCCACCACATGATGGCGCCACCGCAACAGCACTACGGCCCCCCTCCTCCTCCCCCTCCACCCATCAACCACCCCATGCAGCACCCGCCCCAGGGCTCTGGGACACCTCACATGGTGTACAACCAGGCAGGCCCTCCCCCGCCTATGTCCAACGCACCCCCTCCCATTACCCCCCCGCCAGGACACATCATGGGTCAGATGCCCCCCTACATGAACCACCCTCCTCCAGGCCCCCCACCTCAACATGGTGGTCCTCCAGTCAACGCCCCCCCTCCCCACCACTACAACCCTAACACCATGCAGCAGTTCCCTGAGGATCAGGGCACACTCAGTCCCCCTTTTAACCAGCAAGGGGGTCTGAGCCCTGGGATGTGGCCTGCCCCTAGAGGGCCTCCTCCTCCACGGATGCAGGGCCCCCCACCTCAGGGCCAGATGCCTGGACCCCATCACCCCGATCAGTCCCGCTACCGCCCTTATTATCAGTAAACTCTCAACTCCCCACAAAGTCAGGGGCATTGTTTGACTTGTCCCCATTCCTCTCCACTGGTTTGAATAATGTGAACATGAGTCTCTGGGTTCTGTATGACTGTCATTTCTATAGAAACACTTTAAAGAGACTAGTCTATGGTGAATGTATGTATGTAGCTGCTCACTTGAATTGATATGAACTTTTTGGACTGTCAAATGAGCAGCGATACATTTTGAATCGCTCCTGTGTTGGTCTCCAATGGACATTGTATCTTGAAAAATGTTGGTTTGATGATGTCTCAATAAATATTTTCGAACAAAGAGTTAAATCTCATTATTTCTCGATATTATTAGTTGTGGAAACTGTATTTCATCCATATCAATAGGGGGCAGTGTGTGATCTAACATTTGACATTGTTTGCATAGGTAGCCCTGTGTTTTGGTTGATCATATCACATGACCTGGCTTTTAACCTTTTATTGAAATCTTTTTCATCAAACTCCCCTTTTTTTAATGTCAGATGGTCCAGCACCATCCTTCAGCCAATTGCTTTTATATTTATTCTAATTCTCATTTCTGGAAAAGGCTTAAAATAAAAGTATAAATCCAGGTCATGTGACATGATTGACCAATACACGGCCCTAGTTATGTGCGATAAATGAGAAGATAGCTGCTGGGAGAAAATAAATACATTTTGAGAGGGGTGGCACTGTAATTGTGTCAAGGACAAAACCCCAAGATTACTTTATTAAAAAGTATTTTACTCACATTTATGACTCATTATCAACTGTTATCCTGCATGGTTGTTGCATTGTGCTATTTGATGTCACCCTCCCTAGCAAATGCCTCAGGGGTTTATTCTGCTTTTAAAATTATATCTAGCTACTAGTAGTGTTTTACTGTGGAGTATTTGCTTTGTTGATACCAAGGATTGTTGAGGCTATTTGAAAATAAGCAACTTTATTGTATGTTCATTAAAAAAAGGGCTTTGCTACACAGAAGTATACACTGAGTGTACAAAACATTAGGAACACCTTCCTAATATTGAGTTGCACTCCCTGTTGCCCTCAGAACAGCCTCAATTCGTCGGGCATGGACTCTACAAGGTGTGAAGCGTTCCACAGGGATGCTGGCCCATGTTGATTCCAATGCTTCCCAGTGATTGGTCTTCACATCATTAATAAACATAAAATATCTGCAATCAGCCTATCACAGTGTGGCTCCGTTGGTAGAGCATGGCACTTGCAACGCCAGGGTTGTGGGTTTGATTCCCATGGGGGACCAGTATGGAAAAAAATAAAGTATGAAAATGTATGCACTCACTACTGTAAGTTGCTCTGGATAAGAGTGTCTGCTAAATGACTAAAATGTGAACATGTAAAAAATCACACTAAAAGGTTTTGGGTTTCAAATCGACCATTACAGCATTCAAATTAGGGCTATTTGGAATAGCTGTTCAAAAGAGGACATTGTATTATTTCTTTGTACTCCCTGACGAAGGCCATGCAGCCGAAACGGATTAAAAAAATTAAACTTGTTTCTATTGAACATGCCATACAAATAAAGGCATTTTAATTAATTATATGAAGAGTGCCTTGGTCCTCCTTTCTTTTTGATGACCAATTCACCCCTTTGACCAAAGAGCACCTTCTGTCTACCAACATTTACTATTGTGTACCTTAGTAGCACTTCCCTCCCTTCTCTTTCTACTATTACAGCATACTTGTTTGACCTTGGACGAAAGATCATTTGGGAACCTTATTATTGCTAAAATAATGAGCTTTCTCTCAGATCTTCCCTCCCGAAATTCCATGACTCTCAGTTCGCAGGAGAGGCCAGGGAGTAGACCCTGTTATCAAGCTCGTCCCCAGCAAGAGGCTAGAACTTCCAATTAATGTTGGACACATGCAGATAACTTCATTCACAGACAGACTCTTTTGTTCAATCAAAGTTAATAATTAGGGGGTGCTTATAAAGTCCTGTTTCACTGTATGTACAAGTGGGTAACCTGCACAGGTGTGAAATAGATATTTTCCATATCCCACTCCCCCTGAGAGTGGGGCCACAGCCAGGGGATCAGCCATTATTGACAGCGACCCTGGAGCAATTAGGGATTTTACCTTGTCGGCTCTGGGATTCAATCCTGCAACCTTTTGGTTACTGGCTTAACACTCCTTACCACCAGGCTACCTGAAGTTCGTTGTATTGTTTTGTACCTTTCCACTGAGAAAGCCAACAGAGTTATAATTGAGTAAACATGTTGATTATACAGTATTGGATTTATCAAGAGTAGGAAAAGTACATGTTTATTTTTTTGGTGTATATATTTTTATTCAAGTTTTACAAAATGTACATCAATGTAAGTACAAAGATTTGATCATATCCCAACCCCCCCAGTCCCTTCCCTACCTCTCCACCCTACCTCAGTCCACCCACCTCGATTCCCTCCCAACCTACTTGGAAACCTTAAAGCATCTCATCAGAGGGGAGCCTCTGCAAGCCATTGAAGTATGATATAAATGGTTGCCATTTTCAAACAAATGTGTCATTGGAACCCCTAAGAGAATACTTAATTTTCTCAAGCTTTAGGAAGAACATTACATCGTTGAGCCATTGAGAAATAGAGGGGGGCTGAGCAGACTTTCACTGGAAAATAATTCTAGGTCGAGCTAATAAGGATATAAAAGCAACAATATCGGCATGTTTGGGGTCCAAGGAGAACAAGTCTTCTAGAATACCAAAAACAGCTATCAAGGGACATGGCTGCAGGTTAATTTCAAGCACCTCAGATAAAAAAGTATGAAAAAAAAAAAAGTATGAAAAATGTATGCATTCACTGGATAAGAGTGTCTGCTAAATGACTAAAATGTAAATGTAAATAAAAAAATAAAAACAGAATCCCAGTAATTTTGTAGTTTAGAGCATTGAATGAACATTTGACTAAGGTCACATGGTGAGACATTACATCTATCACACTCATCATTTACATTTTGATATATTTCAGACAATCTGGATTTGGAAAAATGCCCTCAATGTAAAACCTTAAATTGTATGAGACCAAGAGAGCACAAGATGTAGTGGAGCAAATAGGTACTCCCATTCAATTCTGTCCAATGCCTTCTCTGCGTCTAGGGAGATTACCACCTCAGGGGAGTTGGAGGATTGTTTAAAATCAATTATGTTAAACAGCGTCCGAATATTAAAAAAGTAATATCTGTCCTTCATAAAGCCGGTTTGTTCCTGTGATATGAGTCCTGGTAAGACTACTTCCAGACGCCTTGCTATCACCTCGCCAACACCTTTACATCCACATTAAGGAGGCTTAGGGGCCTAAATGTTGAACAGGAAGTGGGTCTTTCCCCTTCTTAAGGAGAAGCGCTATTGAAGCCTCTGTTAGGGTGGGTGGCCGCGAGCCACGTTCAAGATAAAAGTAAAGGGGCTAACTTGGTATGGAATTTCTTAAAGAACTCAGTTGAAAACCCATCAGGCCCTGGAGCTTTGCTGCTCTGCATTGACTTAATAGACTGAATAACTTCTTCAAGGCTGAGAGGAGAATCAAGGTAATCTGCAGTTTCAGCCTCAACTGTGGGAGTCTCCAGTTCACCCAAAAACTGAGTCATATTGGCAGTATCTGATGGAAATTCAGACGTATACAGGGAGGAATAGAAAGATTTGAAGGCGTCATTGATCCCCGTTAATGTGCCCTTGAGCAAGGCACTTAACCCTAATTGCTCCTGTAAGTCGCTCTGGATAAGAGCGTCTGCTAAATGACTAAAATGTAAATGTAATATGTAAATGAATCTTTAATTTGGGGAATCAGACGGGTAGCAGCACTGTGTTTTAATTGGTGTGCGAGCAGATGACTTGCCCTGTCGCCATGTTCATAGTAGGTACCACGTGAATGCAATAGTAACCGTTCTGCATCTGTAGTGGACAAGAGATTGAATTCAGATTGTTCAAGCATTGCCTATATAGCTCAGGAGATGGTGTCAAGGCATATTGGTGGTCTAAGTCAAGGATGGCTTTAGAGAGTTCTTCTAGTTTAGCTTTCCGAGTTTTGTTTAAATGAGAAGAATAATAAATAATTTATCCTCTAAGATAGTCCTTAAGTGATTCCCATAAGAGAGAATGAGAGGTTGAGCTTGTCTGATTTGAAAAAATTAAATTATCAATAGAACTGGAGATTACGTTACAGAAGTCTGCATCAGACAGGAGAAGAGAATTGAATCTCCAACAGAGAGGAGTACGATTTTGTTCTGATAGGACTATGTCAAGGGCTAAAGGTCCATGGTCAGAAGTTACAATGGGTAAATATTCAGAAGAGGTGACATTTGGAAGTAACTTATGATCAATAAATAAATAGTCAATAGGAGAAAAATAATGGTGTACATGTGAAAAGAAAGAATACTCTCTTGCCTGGGTATTCTGAAATCTCCAGGGATCTGTACACCCATTCTGAACCATAAAATCTGAGAAGGACTTTGACATAGCAGAAGGAGACATAGTTCTGGGGTTGGAGAGGTCTAAAGCCGGTCTAATAACACAATTCAGATCCCCGACAAATATCAAAAGATGGTTGTTCAGAGAAGGGATTTCCTCCAGCAACCCATTGCCAAATTCAACATCATCAAAATTGGGAGCATATACATTGACCAATATTACAGGTGTGTGCCAAATGGTGCGAGTTATGAATCTCCCATTACTGTCTGAAATAACATTAGTAGTAGAGAAATGTATTATTTTACTAACCAAAATTGCAACCCCTCTGGCTTTGGAGTTAAAGTCTGAATGGAAAACCTGCCTGAACCTGGAGTTTTGTAGCCTTGAGTGATCTTTAATGCGTAAATGGGTCTCTTGTTAAGATACCACATCTGCTTTTAGCTTTTTCAAATAGGAGAAGACCCTAGTCCTCTTGACAGGATTATTAATTGTCTTATTATAAGATTAGGCCTACCTATTTCAATATTACAGTGCCTTGCAAAAGTATTCATCCCCCTTGGCGTTTTTCCTATTTTCTT